ATTGACATTAAATTAGGGATATGGTTAGAAAGTGATTAAAATTCGAGAAACTTGGTTGAGAATTAATAAGGATAAAATTAAAAGAAATCGAGAGAATGTGAATTAAAAAATTTTCAATTAACGAGTTAATTGGAGATAAATAATGATATATACATTGAAATTGATAAAATAATCCTAAGAAGGATTGAAATTGATTTTATCCCAAACCCTAAAAATTTCTATATATAAGCAAACTTTTATCTCATTTTTTGGAAGAGAGGCTACCTACTCCAAAAACTCTAGCCATAATATTCTAATTATCCTAAAACACCTTAGCCTATATATTTATCCATCTTCCCCACAAAAAATCCTAGTTGAAAAAATCTAGCCTCCACTTTTCATCATCTTCTTCCCCTTTCAGCCTAGATAGGAAAAAAAAAAAAAACTAGCGAGGAAAACTATTCTTCTTTCCCTAAAAGTGTAGAAGCTGGGACGTAGATCACCAAAAAAAAAAAAAAAATTGCCCAACAGACCTCTAAGGAGGACAGGACTAACCGACTTGTTTTTTGCCAACATGTTAGGCCCATTTACCATTTATTGCCCCCAATTAGCCATTTTATGGCCAAATCGAACTCTCACAACAACCCAAAAGTGTTCTCCACCCAAAACGGACCAAAACCCCTTAAGAAATCCAGCTTAAAAACATCTAGAATCATTGAAAATTATTGAAGAAGTGTTTGGCTAACTCGTTTCTTCTCTCTCAAATTCCATCATTTTTACGCCCAAATTGAGAGCTTCCACCTCCACATAAGTCCTCCTCAAGCCTCTACCGGGCATTCCTCTCCGGTAATTGTGGAAGAAAACACCTAAATTGATGATGATTGATCGACAATTCGATATCAACCCATTTAACACAACCTCGATTGAGTCTTTCATTTTCAATTAAATTGAACCCCCTAAAAATTGCTTTTCTTTTTCTCTACCTTTATGTATAGAAATAAATAATTAATTTTATCCCTCAATTTTTTCTTTGCTTCCTCTCAAATCCAAGAAACATGTTACTCTTCTTTTTCTCTACCTTTATGTATAGAAATAAATAATTAATTTCATACCACAAATTTTTTTTGTTTTTTTGCTTCCTCTCAAATCCAAAACAAAATTATGTACAAGAAGAAATAATTTTTTTTCATAACTTTATTATGGAAATTTATTTCAAATCAATACCCAAAGAAATTTTTTTATGAAATTGTTTTCATAACATAGGAACAAAAGCAAATGACGAGAGAAAAAGAGGGGCATTTTATGGTTTTTTATTTTTTTAAGAAATTTAATTTTCTTGAAAAAATTAGCACTTGTCAATAACATGTGTTTCTATGGCTGAAAATTGGCATCGTTATCTAAAATTTTGAATGGATTGACGAAATTAAGACATTGATTAAAGTATAAGTAGGGGTGATCATTTGGTATTTCGATTCGATTTTTATTTTTTATTTTTTATTTTTTTTTGTCTTTGGTTAATCGAATTGACTAAAACAAAAACAAAATCGAACCGAATTGATGTTCATTTTTCAATTAAAAAACCAAAATTTTCAATTCGATTTTTTGTTAAATATTGATTTTTTTTTTTAACTTTTTGCATCTTTTCTTCTGAATTTTGAATTTTCTCTTTGATCAATCCGAAAAGCCACTTTTTTTCAATTGTTTTTTAATTACATCACAAATATTGATATCCTAGCAAAAAAATTTTTATTAGTATTGACCATATTTAATTTAATTTATTTTTAAAAAATTATTTTTTCATTGATATTCCTAAATATTTATTTAATTTTTTTAACCAGCTAGCTTTTTTTTAGTTGATTAAAACTTAAAATGAACAAAAAAACTAAATAATTAATTTTTTTAAAAAAATTAATTTTTTCTTCAAAACTAGAAAGACTAATTTATAATTTACTTTAGTTTTAGCATCATGTCTCGTTCATGCTAATTTGATCAACACTAACCTCACAAATTTACCCAAGAGTTTGTTTGAGTTTGCATTAAAAAAATATATATTTGAATTCTCGCATCATTAGATGCAATGGCGAAGTACATAAGCTAGAGATTGGAGATGCGGCTTTTAAACTTTGATGCATATTTCATGAGAGTTCATAGTTTTAGTCATTTCATCTCTAATAAAGAATTCTATCATTTTATTTATAGAGAAATATCTTATTTAAATATCTTTTGTTTCTCTAAAATTTTTTTTCACTCCACCACTAATCAAATGTCAAAAAGATCTTTATTTTAAAAAATATAGTTTAAAATATGTGGAGATCATAAATTTATAAGAGTTAAGAATTGGTATGAACTATAAAAACATATCAATTAAACTATATACCAAAGAACTTGTATCCTAGTAGAAATGATTTTTTGCAAAAGGTTCTTGGGTGTGTGCATTAAAAAAAAAAACTAAACCGAACCGAAATAATTTCGATTTTCGGTTTTGATTTTTTTTTTCAAATTTTTTGTAGAAAACCTAACCGAAATTACTAATTTAGTTTGGTTTGGTTTGATTTTTTAGTTTTAATCGAATAATGTTCACTCTTAAGTAGAAGGATGCCATTAATGAAAAATTTAGTAAAACAACACGACTAAAAGAAATAAAATAATAAAATGACATCTTGAACCATTATCCCATCTAAATTAAAGACTACGAGTCTAATTCGAATCTTAATATTCAAGTGATATATTATAAAAAGACAAATTATCTTTGAATAATTATACAAAATAAAAAAGACTTTACATATTTTATTGCAAGGAAAATGATATTATATACTCGTTACATATCATTGTTTGGTGAGAGTATTTTCTTTTCTAAGTTTTTTAAGTAATACACTAATTAGATACTCGCACTATGGTGTGGTAAAACAAGCTGTTGCATATGTAGAATTAACGATTCGTATGATGTAGCGTAAGTAGAAGTTTTATTTCTAGTGATTAATATAAATCAAATCTATTTATTGAGCAAAATTGTTTGATTTATATATATTTATTAAAAAAATATTTAATAATATTAGCTTAAAAATTTGTATTTAAATAATTGGGAGGCTCTTTCAAAAAATTATCTAACTTATTTTATTTAGAAAAATTTTTTAAATATAAAAAAATAAAAAATAAATAGTTGGTATTATGTGTGTAGATAAATAGTTAATTTCTAACAAAATTAATGACACACACATACACACACTCGGATGTGTATATATATATATATATACACACACATACTTACTGATTCGAGTATATAAAATAAATAAATAACTATTAAAAAAACCACCTAAATTGTATGAAATATATTGAAGTCAATAAATTAAATAAGAACTACAATAAAATTGATTTCGATAAATTTTAAATAAATAAATATATATATATATATATAATAAAACTTGTGAATTTTTTTAATCGATTATTAATTTCTTTTTTAAAAAGGAGTTAAACTATCTAAAACATATTTCTCTCTCTCTCTCTCTCTCTCTCTCTCTCTCTCTCTATATATATATATATATATATATATATATATATATATATTAAAAAAATTAAAAACTCATTAAAAAGCAAAAATATCATTTATTGTATAAATTATAATAATATATTTTTAAAAAATAAAATATCGACATTCTAAAATTTATTTTAAAATTCATATATTAAAAACTAAATTTATTAACAACTAAAATTATATCAAAAAAATAATTTGATGAGAATTTTAATAAGAAACAAGTCATTGAAGAAATAAATTTAAACAATAAAAGTAATATAATCGGATATGTATATATAGAGGAAGGAAACGGAGAAAAAAAGAAGAAGGAGGAGGACATGCGCTTGGTTGGTTTAAGCCAACCAAGATAGGCATCCGGTTGGCACAAACCAACCGGGATAGGCGATTGGTTGGCTTGTGCAATCGAGGTTGCACTTAAGGGAAAAAAAAAAAAAAAAGGCCATGCTTGGTTGGCTTGTGTGGCCGAGCCGGTGCGCTTGGGCTTGCGATTGCAAGCTCGTGCGCCGAGTGTGGGCAATTGCTTAACCAAAAAAAAAAAACCTACAACTTTTGACGAACTCGAGGTCGTTGAAATCTTCGTCGAAAAATTGAATGTCAAGTCTCGGACTCTTAGAAATTAAATTATGGCATCATTTTTCTCCCAAGCACCTCTAAATGATCGACATAAAGCCAATAAACACATCTAAAATCTTAAAAGTCATTTTAGTGTATACCAAAACAAAGAAAAATATACAATCAAATTAGAATTTTTTTTTCTTTTTTAGCTTCGATCTACCTCCTTTAATTATTTAATGGCTTGAAATCACTATGAACAAACTCATCTCTCAAAGATAAAAAATCTAGTGGATTTTCGCCGGTCAAAGTTGCCTAAATAAGCTTAGCCGGCGATCTCTCTCTCTCTTCCTGCCTCCCTTCTCTCCGAATCCAAAGATCAAAATGAATGAGCAAATGAAGAAGTTGATTGAAATATTTGTTCGAACATATCAAAGACCAAAGTGTAAAAAATTATATAACTTTCACCCATCAAAATCTAAAAATTGAGTCTAACGCTACAATAAGAGAATTGCAAAATGTTCACTTCTTTTAGTTTTATAAGAATTATCATTCATTCCCAATAGAAGGTAGAGTGAAGTTGAGTTAAAAAATATTATTTTATTTTATTTTGAACCCTCAAATATTAATAATTTAATATTATAAAGAAAGGATATATATATATATAGTGATTGGTTGATTTATTGTCCAAGATTTTTATACGGTAATCCTGTTTTATCAAGGAACGAGAATACGAAGATTCGCGTTAGATTTCTCTGTTAAGATCTAATGTCCCTTGTTAATCCGATTAAACCTAGTATCCTCCAGAAATCTAATTCGGGCAAAAGTAAAAACCCTCGGTTGTAGTTTCTATTTATATTACAGGCTTTTGTTATTAGAGCAACCGCCTTCTTACAGCGATTGTTGTTTCACCATGACAAGAACGAGAAAACTTCCCATGGCGAAGCGCGAAACAGCACAACAAAGGTCCGTTACTTTCACAAAAAGACGGCATGGTCTATTCAACAAGGCTGCAGAGTTGTGCATGATCTGTAATGCTCGAGTTGCGATTATGGCGACCTCGGTTTGTTCCAAAGAGAAAGTCTTTTCCTTTGGTCATTCTTCTGTTGATGCTGTCTTCGATGCCTTCCTCAATGGGTCTTCTCCTCTGGAAGCAGCCGATGATGACACAATGAGGTATGCAAGTTCCCTCTCTCAAGAAATTAAGGAATTGGAGATTGAGTTTAGCACTCTTATGCAAAACAAGAAGAAAAACGTTGTTCCTCAAGGAGAGTTTTCATGGGAGTTAGAACAATTTGACAAGTCCAATTCAATTGAGGAGTTGCAGAATCTTGTAGATTGCCTGGAATTTTTGTTGGCTAGAGCAAATAGCAAATTGAATAACTCAAGCACTCTTGGTTCTACTTCTGGTGCCACCGTAGTCAATTATGGTAATAACAGTTCTGCCGGCATTCTTGATGTTGGTAGTGTTGGAACTAAATCTGATGACGTTTTGGCTATTGAGGTTCGTAAACCTCATGAAGCAACCTTCTCTCTCAGGTGATGTGTTTGTTTACAATTGTGGGAATGTAGAGTATAACAATGGTAACAATGATGCATTGGCTATTTTTGATGAATCACAGATTTCTGGGTTTGGTTGCAATGGTTACTATGTTTTCTCTAAAGGGAAACAGTACTGAGTATGATAGTTCTCCATTGACTATTAAGCCAGAAGGCCCTGAGCCAAACTCAGTACTGCCTAATTATCATAGTGATAGTGATTTTCCAACTGTCCATGCTGATCATATTGATTACCTGCAGTATATCCTTCAATCTCCCTCCAATTCCCGTTACAATTTAGAGAATGTTTTTCCAGCAAACAATGCTGATGATAATAACCCCTCATGGACTCCACTTGCAGATGCTCCTGGTCCTAGAATGAATAGTAATAACTTTCTGTTAAATATCTGTAAATTTCTCCGATTGGCAATAGTATAGTAGCTCGTAACAACGTTTTGCCCTTTTTTGGATGCAGAGTACTTCAAGGACACAGAGTTTGCTGATTGGGGAACTAAAACTGCACCAAGTTCTTATAATTGTGAATTTAACCGTCATTATGTTATGGATGGAAACAGCAATCCCAAGCCAGATGATTCAAATACAAAAGAGGATTTCATGGATTTGCTTGCCAGTTATTAGAATTCTATGTTGATCATAAGGAGCATCACTTTCTACTGACAGGTGCTAATCAGTATGTAGGTTTGACTATCATTGATGATGGTTGGGGTTCAAATGTGCCATGCACAAAGCATATATGGATCCTTTGTACTACTAACATCATTATCATTATCATTATTATTATTATTATTAATCTCTTGACAGTTTCTCATCAGAATTATTTCTAATTTTAGCCCAAATTTGATATCATTGTCTAGAAACTCTCCACAATTGGATTATTAACATTAATTGGATACTTTTGTGTTGTTTTTGTTACTAATGTTATCTAAATGTGTTTATTATTTGTTGTTTGATTGTGTTTGAAAAACGATATAAAAATAAAATATCAATACAAAAAGAAGAGGCTATTGTGACCACCTGATGACCAACCAAATAAAATCGTGGGCGCACAAACTTTTAAATGTTTTCGGTGACAAAATTGGTCACTGCTGCTTGACAATGCTTTAACGGCTAATTTGGTCATCATATAATACATGTTTGGTGACCAAATTTGGTCACCAACAGCATAAGCCAATGAAATTAATCTTTGCCCCTCTCTTTTGGTGAATAATTTTAGTCACTAAATATCCGTGTAGAGCTGTAACTAGATTGAATTTGAATCTGGATCATAGTAAATCTGGATCTGATTTATTTAATAAACAAATAAAATCTGATATTATGAATGCGAATTGAGTTTTTTAATTGTCGATCTAGATTTAAATCCTAATGGATTTGAATCAAATTTCGATATTGATGAAATTCAACATTTAATTTTTTTTTTCAAAGAAAAAATGTTAGCAACAATCAAAATCATCCCTTTGATGTAGAACAAGTTTCATACACTTGGATGTATGAAAAATATATATTATGATAAAATTTAATATTTTAATTAAAAAAATCAAAATGACTAACCAGTAAAAAAGCATAATTAAAAAGAGTCGAACAAAAAATTCATATTAAATATCAAAATTAATTTAAATTAGGCAAGAATTACAACAAATTTAAAGAAGAATAATAAAAATGCCTACTTTGGGCATAACTTAATTGGCACAAAAGAAAATCCTAGTCTTTTACAAACAACAAGTTTGAAATTGATCAAAATTTAAATTAGATCAAGATGGTATAAATTAGAAACACAAGTACAATGCTAACAACAACTCATTAATTAATTTTTTTTCTCATACTTTTATAGGATTGTTCACAAAATTAATTTGAGACTTGAAAAAAAGTGAAAAAAAAATATCATGTGATTGTTTGAAAGAATAGGATTCAATAGAAAAAATAATAATAATAAAAGTATAGAACATTATTTAGCATTTAGAGTAAATAAACCTAAAATCTGGACCTAAAGCCATATCTTTTCTTATTTTTTATATCTAATTTTTTTTAGCTTTTAAAATATTATATTTATTAGAAATAACATTTATTAATTTCAAATCGAATTATTATCCTATCTAATAATGTAATAAATAAATTAAAATATTTGAATTATAATGAGAGTCGAATCGTAAAATTACATACCAAAACCATTTAATTACATTAGAATCACATTCAATTCAAATCAAAACTCCATCTATTGACAGACCTTACTCACTAGCATAAAGATTGATAGTCTATCCATCAATTAAGGATGGGATAAATGCATTATAGGTATGTTAACTTTAGCCTTTTACTCAATCAATTACATAGAGTTTAATTTTTTTTATTTAAGTAAATTGATTTTTTAAAACTATCAATTAAGTATTTTTATAAATTTCTTTGTTAATTGATGAAGTGTTAGCAACCTTCAAAATATCAAATTATAAATTTGCTCTCTTTTTATTGATACCAATCAAAAAGTCCGTTATGATATTCAAAAGCTATTTATCTCGGATTGAGTAAGTCTAGATTGTTTTAATTTTCCATATTTAATTGAATAACCCGATCTTAAAAAAAATCCAAATGAGAATTATTTTTGAAAAAATATTCTTCAAACTCACTCTATCTTAGAGTAATTTTTTCTACTCTATCTTAGAAGAATAACCACATTATATACCGATAATGAAAGGGAATATCATGCTCTTTCTTCCTTTCTTGCTACCAATGGCATCTCTTATCTCACCTCTCCTCCTCACACCAAAAACACAAAGGATATTCTAAAAGTCGTCATCGTCACATTATTGAAATAGGTCTCACTCTTCTCACACATGCTTTCATGCCCTTATCCTATTGGTCCTATACTTTCACCACTATTGTCTATCTCATCAATTATCTACCCACACCTACACCCTCATCATATCCTCATATGCTAAACTCTTTGGCACTCCACCAAACTACTCTAAAATTTGTAGTTTTGGATGTCTTTGCTATCCATGGCTATGACCATACTCTTGAAGGATCATGTATTCTATGAAGATACGGAACAAACAAAATTTTTTCCTCCATCTAAGGACCTAAAATCAAGCCGTTTAATCTATTAACCATACATGTATGAATTTAAAGCAATGAACAAGGATTACCTCTTATAGCACATATCTAAATTCTTTTCAGAAAAATCGTCCAAGTTTCCAACCTTTATTGATAATCCACGCAGTTCAAATATCCACAAAGAAGCATTCAAAATTTATAGGGTGCTAGCTCCACCTTTTCCGATTTAGTGATTCCTATAGAAACCATTCCCCGAATAATTTTACTGGAACCTTGAAAGAGAAGGAAAGAGTTTGGCTTACTAAGGTTTTAGAGAAAACTATTTCCTTCTATTATTATTATTATTATTATTATTATTTTGTCATGTGTCTTCTATTTATTTTAGGGTCGCCCAAATTTTCTTTTCCCTTTTTTTCTTTGTTTTGGTCGAAACTTTCTCCCTTAAAAACCAAAATGTTGCCACACCTCCCTCTCTCCTATATATTTATAGGAGAGTTTCCTTGTCCTCAAAGGACAAGGAGAGGGGTGGCAATAAGTCCCTAAAAGGTAAAATGCTCTAGGTTGTTATTTCCTTATCCTCCAAAGATGAGGAGTTTTTTGCAAGTGGACTTTTTGATAATTGTCTTTAAAACATTCAATATTATCCAATAAAGTTGATGTTTATCCTCCCACCAAAATATCTTACAGCTTTTTAATTAAACCTAATGAGCTAAAACCATTTTAGCCTAATTAATTTATTTAGACTATCAAAATAAATAATCTTAGATTATTTTAGGCAAGTCCACATTAGGAAATAATTTTTTAAAATACCCTTTAACCTAAATTAGGAAACTCATTTTCATTTTAAGTTATTTATTTCTAAATTTGGAACTAACTTTCAAGTTAGGAAACTAATTTCTAATTAAGAAAACTTTCCATTTTAGGAAACTTCTTAATTAAGAAAACTTTTCATTTTAGGAAACTTTCTATTTAAGGAAACTTTCCATTTTGAAAATTCCTAAAATAGAAAAATTTCATAATTGAAATTTTTTTCAATATCTTTGCTTCTCATTTATAATGTGAATACTTAAACTTATACGTGTGACTCAATATGCTCCTAGATATGATGGCAATGCATTAAAAAGAAAAGACTCCTCTTTTATTTTTTGATACATAAATCAAGATTGGCTTCTAGCAATGCATCATGACTACCTAATTCTCTTGAAGGATTAATTAATCCATTATTATCTTTTACGAGCATGGTTACCATACAATTTAGTCCTCATTTAACTTATCACGAGTGTGATTTCGAACTTGATTATAAGTCTTGTTTGATTATGATCACATAAGTTTTCTTCGATTTCCAAGTATCTTAGCTCATAGAATAAGCCAACTATGCTCTATTGGTGCACTTCTACCGTGGCCACAGATTTCTTAAATAGACATTTATCGAAGTGTAATGTGATAATTCCTTTAGTATATAAGGAATGACATGTCCTATCTTAGTCATGCATCTACCTCCATTAGATTCCTATTGCACCCAATGAATCACCCATGTACAATCCATTAATGGGTCCATCAAAACGAGTATTAAAGTGCATAAGTCCTCCAATGAGACAATAGTGATGATTTTAAGTTTAAGGACCATTTGTGCCCATCTCGTATGAGATTCTCATAGACCGACACCAAATAGGTTCTCATGGCGAGTCAAGTCCAGTGATATGTTCTCTAACATAAATCACTTAAGTGCTTGCTTTGACATCATACTTTCAATAGGTATGAGATCTTTTACTGCTATAATATAGCATGAGCATAACACTCACAAGTCTATCCATATATAGTCAATGTCTATTCTTGACAATGTCACTACTTGGGGACATTTAATGATATCATGTATATGCATTAGTGTTTGTCTCACATATTTCGATCAATCACTATTGCAAATACATATCATATTGACTTCTATTTAATTTTATTGAATTTATCAATATAAAAACATAAAATTAATAGAATGACTTCTTTATTATTAATAAAATAAATAATGCAACGATACATCAACTCAAGCCCATCCAAACATGGTTAGATCTTGGGCACCTACACTAATAGCTCATCTCATAAATTAGTTCTTGGTCTACTCCCGTGTCCTACTTAGTTACTCTAATACCTAAAGTGCCTACCTATGTCTTAAACCTAACTCCTTTCGTATCTACATATCTCATCATGTCAAATTTATTGAGTCTATTTTCCCATTTACATTCCGTTAGTCATACTTGGAACGTGCCTCATCCGAAACATTCAATCATTGATGTCCCTCCGTATCCATCTTGTTAATTACCAACACATCATCTACTGTATCAACAAACACATCCTTTGTAGATCTAATAACAACACACGTCCTACCATCATCACTTTCAACTACATCTAAATTACCTAACTCCTCCTACATCTCTAACACTCTCACTCCTTATGTTGTTGTCATCATATCCAAAAATAAATTTACAAACCTATCACCAAATTAAACATTACTTATTAGCTTGCCTTCACAACCGACCATGCACCCACCTCTCGTAGCCCGACCATGAAGGATCCTAAGTTCC